TAGATAGATAGATAGATAGATAGATAGATAGATAGATAGATAGATAGGGTTGTGTTGTTTTTTGTGGGGTAAATGAAAACAGCAATCCTATCTACTGTGTATAAGATCCAAAACAGTTCAAGCTCAGTTAGTCAAGCTTCCAGGTCCAAGTCTGTTGGGAATCTGTGTGAGTGAAGAGAAAGTCCCACCACTGGAGAGGTGTGAGCTGCAGGAATCATCTGAGGAAGGAATCAGTCTCATCTCCATATGACTCCCGTTTAGGTGTTATGATCACCAGTAACTAACAGATGGCTTGGCCACAGATAGAGCCAAACCCAAAATCAGTTTTGAAAGGAGAAACAGGAGCAAAGTTCATCCCACCTCTCTAACTTTGTTATAATAATTTTACTGCTGGCTAGCTTGGAAATGAATCTGGTATTTTTCCTTCTTTTCCCCCTCATCCACGCATTATTGATCAGATGCCATTTTCCTTCATACTTTAATGAATGAAAATACTTTTAAATTAATATATTCAGGTATGAGCTAAATGTTTAATCTTATCAGTCTCCCTGAATTATCTGTCCTCAGATGATCTGTTCCACTCTTCTGTCTTCCAGTCTTAGCAAATCACATCATATTTTTCACCTTGGTACACACTTTTCCTAATCTGCATTCTTCTGCTACCTTCTGCCTCCTGCTGTTACTTGAAATAAAAATCCTTCTCCAAACAGCCTTCCAGTATAATTTAGATGGGATGCGTACAACCAAAAAAAAAAGGTTATTTGAAAACAGATACTTAATAACATGTAACTTTAGAAACATGGACAAATATGCTATGATACATTATAGTCTCAGCTCTTTATATGATGTGAACACTTTGATCATTCCAATAACCTCCTCTTAGTTACTGCAATCCTAACTAACAATTTTTGATTAAATAAAATTTTTCTTTGCTATCTGGTTTAAAGTGGTTTTCCAAGCACATTATTAAGACAGAAAAATATTTGAGCAGCCTCAAGAATAATTTTTCCTTTATCGCTTAAACATTAAATAAATGTGGTAAGTTAAAGAACTGAAAGAAAAGCACAGAAACAAATTATTTCACTTTTTGCTTTTGTAAAAGAACGGGGGAAATGAGTGACGCAAATAACGTGCGCCGCAGTCGTGACGTCACAAACAGACGCCGTGTCAACATCAACGAAAGCTAACAGCGCAGCTACCGATGAAGTTTGAACGCCAACTCTAAGCCCCGGACTGTAAAGGGTGGTGAGTGAGCACCCGTTCGTTAAGGTCTCAACAGACTATGCTTTTCATCTAATTCTTTGTGAGGGGTTTGTCTTTTCCCCTCCTACCGGTTGGTTTATTTGTAGGTAGCAGACTAAAGAGCTTCTTGGAGGAAGCCGAGCGTCGCTAGAAATATTCGAACCTTACCGTATCCAGATTCCTGGATGATGTTTGTTGTTATACTCGTGTTATTGAGCTGTCCCAAAGCCTCGTTGGCGCAACGTTTAAGCTGTTTTTTGCTTCATTTAATAAAGCTACTTCAGCTCTTTTAGATGAACTGTACTTTCTGTTTGGTGCTTTGTCACGTGCACAAACATTTCTGGGTGGCTTTTATAGAGAAACATAGAGGGAGAAACGTCTGATCAGTCCAGATCCAGATGTCCGTGTGTCACGTGTCTATCCCTTTACTGTTTTTAATCAGCAACATGTGTGATGATGTGGTAGATCCATGTACCCTGCTGAGTGGACAGTGTTATTATTTAGACTGTTTCAATGGGGGGAAATAGGGCCTAAATAGAAACTTTCTTTGGATTACATCACAACCAATTGTCATTGTAGCAGCAGTTCTGATGAGGTTATAAATGATTCCACACCCATCTTTGTAAAATTGATTGCCCCTGCTGTAAAGATGTATCTCCAGGTTCTGTGATAGTTTAGATCATTTTTTTTAGAGAGAACTTAGAAAGTGAAAACAAAAAGTGGAGTGTGGCTTAAGCAGTGCTTTCTTATCAGGCTCTGCAGAGCTGAATGAGGTGCCCCCCTCCCCCCCTGCTGCTGTCGAAGTGCCGCCGCCGCCACCAGGATGGGCCAGCAGATCTCAGGCCAGGCGGTGATGAGCCATCTGCCTGAGAAGCTGGTCAAGCACGCCGGGCTGGTGCGGGACAGCGGCTACCTGACGTACGAGGAGTTCCTGGCAAGAGTGGCCGAGCTGAACGACGTGTAAGTGGCAGCCTGGTATCGGTCTGGAGCACCGAAAGCTGTACTGTGACAGGATATAGATCTCCTGCTGATGTCTGTGTGGAGAAAGCAGGACCCAGAACCGGACTCAGTCCGTCCCTCTTGTCTTCTCAGGACGGCCAAGCTAGCCGCCGGGCAGCAGAAGCACCTGCTGTTCGAAGTCCAGCCAGGATCGGACGCTAGCGCTCTGTGGAAGGTGGCCGTCCGGGTCGTCTGCACCAAGGTGAGGCCCAGCTGACCCCGGAGCAGCGGGTGCTCACAAACCGGAGTTTAAAAACCAATAACCAGAAAGCCTGTCGTGTGGGGTTGATTATTATTTTTAACTAGAATGTGTGGATAATTTAAAAGACCCATAACCATGTTAGAATGGCTTTTCTCAATATGAAATGAAAGGTGACATGAATTGCCTTTGAAATAACTACTCAAAAATGACCATAAAAACATTTAATATTTATATGGTCACCATTGTAGTATAGATATACACATTTATTGGAAATTGAAACAAACTGAAGAGGACTTATTAACTCATTGACTGCCAGTCATTTTCAGAACAGAGAGTCCCATACTGCCAGAGTTTTTTGAGCATTTTGACTGATTTGTCAAGAGCCACAGAATAGTTTGTGCTATGACTATGTAAACACCGAACACACCAAAAGAAAGAGTAGACTCTCTTCTTTCATCAGGAAAAAAATGTGTTTCTACCTTATTCCGTTCTTCCTGGACTTGCGTCTCTCATAGAACCGTTCCCTTTTTCTTATTTGCCTACAGTCTATGCTCATCTCCCATCAAAAGTGGCACTGCCCCCTAGAGGGTCAATTTGTTACTACATACTCTGTCTAGAAGCCCATATTTACGGACAAGCTTTAGCAGATCGTCCCCCAGACACTCTCGTTGAAAAACATAAAAGACCTCTATAGACGTCTTTGGCAGCCAATGATTTAAAAATGACCATAAAAACATAGAATATTTTCATGGTCACCGTTGTAGTATAGATATACACATTTATTGGAAATTGAAACAAACTAAAGAGGACTTATTAAAAGGGAATAAAGCTCGATTAGCTCTGTTAAATGAGGAGAAACAATGTGGAGGAGGGGGGACAGTTAATGAGGGCTGCTTTTGTCTCCTCCCAGATCAACAAGGAGACGGGCATGGTGGAAGCTACCAGGATCATGAACCTGTACCAGTTCATCCAGTTATACCGCGACGTCACCAGCCAGGCGGCAGAGGTGCTGTGTGCCGGGGGGGCCACCGAGGGCCCGTCTGCTCAGCTGCCCTCCACAGAGTCCTGCCAGGCCAGCATGTGGATGGGGAGGTCAGTGCCCGACAGGGGGTCTGCTCAGACCACCAGAGGCCATATTCAGTGCGGAAGGGAAAGGTAGCAGCGTCCTTTTCTGTTTGTCTCCACGCAGAGTCAAGCAACTGACCGATGAGGAGGAGTGCTGCATCTGTATGGACGGAAAGGCCGACCTCATCCTACCCTGCGCCCACAGCTTCTGTCAGAAATGCATCGACAAATGGTGAGAAGGGTTGGTACCGACATACCGTCTCCACATTGTATACGGTGTTACCCATCCATCCATTATGGTAACTGCTATTCTCTAATGGGGTCATGGGGGGGACTGGAGCCTATCCCAGTGGTCAATGGGGAGAGGCGTGGTCACACTGGACGGTCCCCAGTCCATCACAGGGACACACAGAGACACACAAGGACCAACAACCACACACACTCACACTAAGGGCAGTTTGGAGTCCAACAACCTAACATGCAGGTTTTTGGAGGGTGGGAGGAAGCCGGAGAACCCGGAGAGAACCCACAGACACAGGAGAACATGCAGACTCCACCCAGAAAGGTCCTGGTTCCCCCGGGACTCCAACCCACAACCCTCTGGTCCTGGTTCCCCCGGGACTCCAACCCAGAACATTCTGCTCCTGGTTCCCCCGGGACTCCAACCCAGAACCCTCTGGTCCTGGTTCCCCCGGGACCCCAACCCAGAACCCTCTGGTCCTGGTTCCCCCGGGACTCCAACCCAGAACCATCTGGCAGAAAGGTCCTGGTTCCTTTAAACCCAGAACCCTCTGACTGTGCCTACGGTATAACCGTGACTAGTTAAAAATGACGACTTAAAGGGCAGGCAGCGTCACCAAACTGTTCAGAAACCGAATATATCAAACACTATAAAAGAAATAATAACAATATAGCCAGACGGCTGTAGTCGTGTTCTTCTGAGCAACCCGGTGCGTGACTGGACATCTTTCTCTCCTCCACGCTGTCACATGATGACATCACGTTCATAAACTTTATCAAAAGTCTAAAACCGAAAATTCAATATGTGCTGCTGGACATGGAATTTTCTTAGACATTGATGTAATAATATCATATATTTAATCCTTATCTCCTATATGAGCACGTTGCATTTTTTTGATGTCGGTAATTACGTGTTGAAACTGATACTGTTGCTTTTGACATACGTTAGTACGGCCTTACCGGAGGGGACCAAATCGGAGTGGAGTGGGTGGAAAGGGTTCCCTCTCCAGCCGCTAACGCGCTAACGCGCTGTGTTTCTGCAGGAGCGGCCAGAGCCAGAACTGCCCCATGTGTCGGCTGCAGGTGACGGCCGCCAACGAGTCGTGGGTGATGTCCGACATCCCCACGGAGCAGGACATCGCCGGCTACATCCTCAACCTGGCCGACGAGGCCGGACACCCCCACAGGCCTTAACGCACACAAACCCAGACGCACACCAACCTGCACATGCTCGCACACAACACGCCACTTTCCCAGAGAAGAATCTCTATATAGAAATATATATTTGTCTATTGAAGGCAAAGTGCAGGACAAAGCAGGAGGGCTTCTGCTGACGTTCTGAAAAACTGACAGTGAGTCCAAGTCACTGAATCTTTCCAGTCCCAAAAAGATGCACTTTCCAATCTGTATTGTAGATTTGGTGTTCTGTTTTTTTTTTTTTGTTTGTTTTTAAAAAAAGTTTTTCTTGGTGAGGGTGGATATCACCGGTTGTGATGTGTGGTCTTCTTTAAGAATCGTGTACTTGTGCGCTGTAATCAAATGTAAGTATTTACTATAAGAGCACACAGAAAAAAAAAAAAAGAAACACAGCTCCTGTAGACATTAGCCAGCATGGAAGAAGGAAACCTGGACAGGGTTTATTGTAGCTCTTTAGGAGGTAAATCCCAGCTAGCAAACTGACCTCGCTTTTTCATTCGTTTACCAGAGAAAGATTAAGTTCAGAGGGTTTGACCTGTTCAATTAACGTGTCCTAGGCAATGAGCAGTAGCTTTATTGAGAGTTGGGCTGCTTTCGGAGCAGCAAAAGTGACAAGAATCAACCAGCACTGAGAGCCATTCCTCCAGTGAAAGGCACAGAAATACGATTAACCAATTTCCCCCCAAATCTTTCTGAATCTTTCGCTCCCAAAATGTCTTACGTAAGTGTAAGGCAACCCAACGCGATCCTGTTTTCTGACGCTTTGCGTGAAAAGCTGTAATACCAAGTTGACTCGTTTTTCCCCCCCACTGGTAAAACGTGTGTGTCTGTGTGCCGTAACCCTGCTCGTTATCACACACAACACACACAACATAGCGCTGTCTCCAACAGAGACCCATTTGTCTTTTGATTTGAAAGGACTAAATAAGTTCTCATGATTCTAAAAAATGTGAATTCTGAAAGTGTCTTTTTCGCTATTCAATATTAGATGTTTCTCATCTAAGTGTTTCTCTTGTTCTCATTTTTTGACATGAGAGATGATTCTATTCAAATGATTTCAGTCAGGCTGCTGTTGAAAATGATACTTTGCACTAGCAGCTCATTTTTGTCTTTGAGAGAAGCAGCTTATCCTAAAAATCTATAAAGTTTTGAATGATTATAGTTAAGTTTTCTTTCCTCTTTGATAAATTAGTGTATCTGCTTTAAGTAGTATTTCACAAGCTAGTGAATGTAAGTTCACTTTAGTCTTCACTGCTGATATATTTCCATTTTACTGAAATAACTCAGCTTTATGATGTAGGTGGGAAGAATTGTTTCTCTCTTGACCCATTTTTCTCACGTCTGAAACTGCAGCTGCAAATTATTCTGAAATGTAATGTTATTTTTTCCCAATTTTACTTTTAAACGCACAGTCCGGTTTTGTCCTGTTCTCTCTAATAGACAATAAACCAATTAATGTAAAGCAGTCAAGTCATTTTTGGTTGCCATTGATAGAAATATTGCCTAGTTTTGAGTTTTCTTTGTTTTTTTTAAGGTGGAATAACTACAAATATCTGACACTGTAATCCATACAGAGAAAGTGCACTGAGCACTTAAATGGCTGTGCAATGTGACGGCACAGCCTTAAGATGGTAGCAGTAACCTTTAATGGAAGGGATTCTGGGCCGAAAATGGTGAAATGACACAGGAAGACTTCTTACTGTATGGATCCTGAATAAAGATGTATTCAATCTTTGCACGTCTTGACTTTGTTGCTCACACAGCTCTGGTTTCTTCCTGGTATAGATTTGTGTTTAATCCTTATAGTTGTGTGGTCTGTTCATATTTCATAACTTATACAGACTTTGTTTCAATCCACTGTCATCAGGGAAACTTCTGCCATAAAAAAAAATCAGTGAGCTTACATTGAAAAGATGAAATATGCATTTTTCATAATTACTTTTAGCTAATAAAATTAAATTGGCCGTACGTCAACCATCCTTATATCAGGGCTCTGTTGCATTTTCAACAGTCCAAACTTGTAATTCTTGGTCTGGATCTGCTTCAGACCTAATGCACGCTGGTTGTAATTTGTAATTTTCCTTCAGCATTAATAGCTATCTTCTTGTTTTTATTTTAGTTTGTTAGTGGTTTACGTTAAGCCCAAAGAAAACTAACCGGTCCACAACAGCCTGTGTTAATTTCTTAGCTGCTGTTCTTTGCACCCTGTATGCATCAGAATTCATGTCCAAACTCACCTTTTAATCATTGGTTCTTCAACCAATCAGTGGAGAGGAGGCAGAGACTGTTTAATCTGCAGAAACAGGGGGGCTGCTGGATAACAGATGGGAGCATAGCAACATTCTTGTCCTGGAAACTTTATTTAATGTATGAAAAACTATTAGAAATGACAGAAATGAAAACAAAATTGATCAAATCACTTGATAGTTTCACAGTTAAGTCATTTTGCTTCTATCATGCTTGTGTGTTTATCCGCATTTGGATGACACACCATTCACTTCAGTAAAAATCAACGCATCTGCTCATCTGACCATAACAGTACATCAAACAGAAAAAAAGTTCTCCTAGTGACAGAATTGTGATTATAAAGCCTTGTTTTTTTGTTCATATTCTTCTTGTAAATGTGTTAATGCGAATGTAAAAAAAGTTGAGTGATAGATTCCCTGTGACAGTAAACCTGGCCTGAAAGTCAAACGTGTGTAATGCTGCGTGAAGCAGGACATAATGCATGCACAGTCTGGATAAACCAACACCCAGACCAACGTGTAAAAAGAAGAAGAAGATAGAAAAAAAACGAACGACAACAACAACGTCCAGCCTCATCTGAGCCCCCGTCGTTTGTGGGTGGGGGGGGGTCCGTCACTCGGCTGGAGTCTGACCCACGTCCGTCTTTACGGCGTCCACCAGGAAGCACAGCTCGTTGCACAGAGTCTCGTAGCGGTAGGCCATGCGGATCTGGGCCACGTTGGTCCGCCGGATGTCGTTGCCCTCTGGACCGTCTTGAAGGTAGTTGGAACCAAGGAAGTGTTTCTTTTCCTGGGGGGGGGGAGAGAAGGACCCGATTTTTTAAGTTATTAACAAATCAAACTGAAGAAGACTTATTATAGTAAAGTTCAATCAGCTCTGTTAAATGATGAGAATCAATGTGGAGAAAGGAAGCATGGGCGTTGTCCATCATTCTTCCTAGAATGACGGACAACGCCATGTAACCTGCTGATCCCTCTTCTGTTCCCCCTAACCCACAGGGAGGGGGGGGGGGGGGGGGGGGGGTGTGTGAGTGTACCTGGTGCGACAGGCCGCTCTGCAGGACGCTGTTCCTGGCTATCTCACACAGGTCACAGGTGCTCAGCTTCCACAGCTGGGCGGCTATGGCATACTCCTCCATCAGGGGCTCCTGAACGGGTCAAAACAACAACACGGTGGGATTCATCTCAGTAATTCCTGATTCTTCTTTAAACCTTGTAATGCCAAACGTATCATATTTGATACATACGGTTTCTGAAATGTTTTTGCGTCTGACTCCTTTTGCATAATTAAATGGCAAAAACTTTGCTCAAAATCCTATTGTACACAATCAGATACACCTCATAACAGGGGGCAGAAGACTACACAAAAAATAATCTTCACTTATCGCATAGCAATAAATTATTAATATCAAAAATGTATTTCTGTTTTTTCTTTTTACATATTTTGTTAAAAGGCCAAATAAGGTATTCAAACCCCAAAAAAGTCATTTTGAGTTTTCTGTTATTCTTGGATCAGGCTTTAAAGGGTTAACATGTAAACGCATCACAGTGGGTCTGATTTCTTAATGAGATGATCAGTCTATTCTGGACTGGAGCTGGTTGTTGGTTATTGGTTATTGGTTAATGGTTGTTCCTGGTTGTGTGGGGCGGCCTACCTTGGTGTAGTGGAACTGCATGGGGTCGTCGGTGGACAGCGACACACACAGGCCCTTGTGCAGAAACTCCCGCAGCGGGTTCTTGGAGTACTGCAGGAACAGGCTGTTGTTGCTCAGAGGAGACATGGCAATGGGGACCTGGGCCAGGTAGTACAGGTACTGCAGCACGGGACTCTGGAGGAAGAGGAGGAGAAAAGCGCTGGTCATCTGAGTGGTGCACGGCATCACAGGAGAGTAAAGGAATGCATTCGACATCTGATGTGCTCATTTCATCCAAAATGTTTTCATTCATGATGTTTTAAGCATCCTGATATCTTCGGAAGTTAATAGAACTTTGGTCTTCCTCCATATAAATGACTAAAAATGACAAGATTGTTGCAAACTATGCTCTTTAAGCTGCCATTAACCCAGCAGAACCCACACTAACAACCTGTTTAAACTAAAATACATATATTCAAAACGGCCAATGGAACTTCTGGAAATCACAGATCTTTGACATTTCGTGGTGGTAACTGAATTTTTTTTTAATGTGAAGAATGCAGTTCATTTGGTCAGTTTTCTATTACCTATAATTTCTCTAGGCAAAAATGGGTCTGGGATGTTGTGGGTTAAAAACATTAAAAATAAAGTGAAAATGCTACGTGCCTCTGATCTAAATATAGTCCAAAATAATGAAGGATTCCTGTCTCCTCAAAAATTAGGCATAGATTAATTTAACACGAGACGAGTGCGAGTACTTGCTGTCCATGGAAAAGAAAATACTGAAATGCTTTCGAATCGGCATCCTCACTAAACTAGAAATCAGGAGTTTTAAATCTGATCATAACTCAGAATTCACTCAGAATTCCATCTTTTTCTTTCCCCCAAACGTTCCGTTAATGAGGTCCATTACACCTTTTCAGACATAATGCGTGTAAAATGTAGGGGTTGGCACCTTCTTGAGGTTGAGTCCGTGGGAGATGTTGTCGGCCGTTAGGAAGGCAGTGACCAGATGGGTGATGGAGCCCGCTTCCCCGCAGTGGGGCCGAAACTGGAAGGTGTTCAGTCCCCGCTCCCTGGGCAGACGCAGGAAGTTTGTTTTAGCTTACTACGGATGCTGGGCTGTTATTGTTTTTTTTTGTTTGTGTGTTTGTTTACAGTCAGACTGGACTTACTTGCGCAGGTTGTTGAGCACCATGACGTTAGCATACATGTAGAAGAGGTAATAGGTGTAGGGGGGGTTGTCGTCTGTGGTCCAGGCCTCAGGCGGGGGGCTTTTGTAGGAGAACATGTGGTCACTGTGTTTGGATTCATCGTCCACGCTGTCGAATCCTGTCAGCTGCAGAGGAAGGCAAAAAACCACCAGGTGAAGGGATTCTGCGATGAAAATGCTCACTGAAAAATCTAAAGCTAGTCTCTGAAACGCTTACGTATTTCAGGAAAATGTGGACGGCTTTGTGCTTTTGAGGATTGACCGTGGCCTCGAAAAGGGGGAGGAAAATGTTCTCCAGCATCTTGGCGAAATTTGGAATCAACTTCTTGGACCTGAAGATGTCGCTGTACACAGACAAATACACTTTAAACCGGAGAGCAGGACAGGACTGATTGTGGTTTAAGAATCCCCTCCACCTCAACCTCTAACTCTAAACCTTTTCTTTAAGTGAATACTGACTAGATCCTGGGGATCTGGATCATCCATCTCATGTTGGAGGAGTGGACTTTGTGCTGGATGAACCAGGTGGCCAGGTTCTCCCACTCTTCGGGGGAGCGGCCGTAGATGGACAGCCGGGGCTCGGCGTGCTGGTACTTGCTCTCCTCCAGCTCTTTAGCCACTTCCTGAAACAGACGGCACCAGGAAGTCAGTGGCGCTGCTTCGTGAGGCAGAAATGGAGTCACGGACAGAGCCGTGCGCCATGACACACCTTGACGAGACGTGCAAAGTATTCTCCGTTGAGGTAGTTGTCTGTTTTCAGGTAGATCTCCCGCAGCTCGCTGGCGCCCACGGGGTTGTACTTTGAGTTGAACTTGTCGAAGCGATGAAACGTTTGTCTCCCCTGTGAGAGAAACGTTCACACATGAGCACATGATTCAGCGGCCATCGGCGGGACGCTTGTTGAAAGCTCCTCTCTCACAGCGTGCACGTCCAGCGAGTCCACGGTGAGGTCGTAGGGGTCCATGTTGAGGTTGTCGAAGACCTGCTTGAGCGTCAGCTTCTGGTTGCCTTTCTCCAACACCACTCGGTCCGCCTCCGTCTGGTATGTGGTCTTTATGAATTTCAGCAGGTGCTTCTGGTTCATGCAGGCGGCGGCATGTATGTGTGTGTCCACCTGTGTTTGGGAGAACGGACACGGAGACAGTGAGAGGTGCTTTAACCCACGACCCGCCCCAGAGTAAAGAACAGCATCTACTGTGGGGCTTAAAACAGATCATCTGCCTCAGCTTTGTTTTTTCTTCCATCTAAGGAGAAAAGAAAAAAACAAACCAACCTTTCTGACATTGTAGAAGTCTCTGTGTGGGACGCGTTTTAGCTCTTTCAGCTCTGCCATCTCATTCAACATTTCGTGAAGGTAGAATTTAGAGGCCAGGAAGTTGAGCCGGCGGTGGCAGTACGTCTTCCTGCAAGACACCCCACAAAAACATTCGGCATGCTGTCAGTTTGAGTCTCACAGGGCTTCATCAACTCTTTTAGGGTGTGTGCGTGCTCACGTGGGGCCGTCTGCTATCATGGCCAGCACGTGGCTCAGGTCTATAGCGAAGGTCTCCAGGTCGGGGTAGGGCAGGCTGAGCGGCTGCTGCTGCCTCAGCGCCGCTGCGTCCTCGTACACGTGAACTATGCCGTCCTTCATCTGCAGCTCGTAGTTCCAGTTGTCAGGAATGCCTTCCATGGAGTACAGGTCCTCTCCTTCTCGAGGGAAGGGCCAGATGTCTGCAGGTGGAAAGCCAAATGTTGAGGATGGCTAACATGGCAAAAACAACTGCCCCATTCCTGGAGGCTTTGCTCAAAGTTTACCACCAGAACTTCAGCTACACTAACTGATGGATCCATGCGATTACAGCCTAAAACATAATAAAAATCTAAACATGTGCTGTTCTTTTATCTCAGTGTGACACGGTGATGCTGTTTCTGTCTAAAATCCTATCTAATTTCCTAATATTTGTTTCTAGCCTGCTTCCACTGCACACTTGTCTGACATGTTGACCTCGGGTTCTTGCAGACATGGTTTATTTAGTCGCAGATGCTGAGATCTTGTTGTTTTTAGAAACTTTAGTTTTCAAAAGAACAAATGAAAAGAGGTTTAGTCAAACACACTGAACCTCACAGGATTACCATCCAAACCTGGAAATGTAGTCTGCTGTGCATCGATTTTCAGTCACAGACTCCAAATATGGGAATGTTTAAAAATAAAAGGCAATCTATATTTTGGAGGAGGGTTGCAATGTTACAAGACATGTTTTGTATTCCCGCTCTCTGCCCTGGGGGGGTTATACTCAAAAGAAGCTTTGTTTTATCTGGAAAAGCCTGACTGGCCCTGGCTCACACACCACTCACACTGACTTAACGGAGGGCTAAAAATGGCCGTAAATAAAAGATTAGACACAAAGTGTTTCATCCTTATCATAGTTTACAAAGCTAACAACAAACTGAAGGAGTCCATTAGCTGCATCTTGTAGCGGTAGCTGCTTGGAATGGTTAAGTGCCTCACCGTTTACTCTGTCAACATGAGAAGTGACTGCTGAATGCTAATGCTAAACGATAGGAGTGGGTGGCTGAGCACTCCCAGAAATGGGAGTATAATCCGGGTCAGGTGACTTCAGTCAGCAGTTATTCGGGTTCAGCACATTACGCTGCAGATTGTCCCATACAGCAGCTTCTATGGGTTGGGAGGAGCCAACCTCACCTGGCAAGATCTCGTCATCCATATTCCACTTCTCGTTCTCCGCGCTGCGGAGGAACCGGGCCGTGGTTCTGGGGAAGCGGTGGTAGGCCAGCCTGGAGTACTTCTCCCGGATGACCAACGCCTTCAGGAGGCTTTTGGCTGCCACTTCGTAATCCTCAACGGTGATCTGAGGACATTAGAGAGAGTTCATTTTTCTCTGTATAGACAGCTGTAAATGTCTTTGTTTTAATGGAGTCATGGATAAAGTTTGAATGATTTGACTGCAGAATTTAGCATAAAAACAATCACCCATCCACCCACTGTATATACCAGGTATTTCTAGCAGGGTGTTAGGGGGGCTGAACCTATCCCGGCTTTCTTTTGGCAAGAGGCGGGTAAACCCTGGACAGTTCCCCAGTCCGCCACACAGAGAACAACCACACACACACTCGTATCAAGGAACAATCTAAGCAAACAAAGAGTCCCTTCAGTAATAACTAAAATGCTTTGAAACTGGAGTGCCTGGTCACAGGGGTGGACTGCTGTTGCCTTATTTTTAAGCCCTGACATCTGGGCTGATCGCTGGGTGTTTGTTTTGATCCCACTTTGGTTGGAAGGCCAATCTGTCCCTGCATCATAATTCTGAATCAGGTCGAAGGACGTACCCCTGCACAGTAATCCCCACTGATGGTCACTCTCTGGAAGTCCGGGTTGCTGTCTTGGAGAAAAGGCTCGAATGTTTCTAGGGTGGGGGATGCCACAGACTGGGCCCAGTCCAGAGTTGGGGGCAGCTGGGAGGATACAGACTGCGAACGCTTCAGCAAGAAGTTCCTCTTCCTGATGACAAACAAGAATAACAATCACAAGACTACTCCCCTGATAAGAGTGCTAAAAACTATCTTAAACAGAGTCAGAATTACTTTATTAATCCCTTGTGGGAAATTCTTTTCTTTGCAGTGCACCAGTTAACAGAAGAATAAACTAAATAAAGAAATTTAAATAAAGAAATAAACTTTACAATCAACAGTATTAACAAAGCTGCTCTGTGTTTAAATTACTATTGTTGCACATGACCAGGTTATTGCAAATAGTTAAGTATGAAATAAATAGATGATGAGTAATGAAATAAAATGACTGTCAGAGAGTCATGATCAGCCGTTTGGCGGGAAAACAGCCACCGTGTGCACGCAGCGGAGCGGCCAAACGTTTTGCACCGACCTCTGAACGGACTCCTGGGACTGCTGCTCGGCCAGCTCCTTCTGCAGGGCCCTCTCCCTGTCCTCGTGCAGGCCGATGGGGCAGTCCTCGGGCACCGTGAACAGAGCCAGGGCGTCCCGGGTGTCCTCCTCCTTCAGGGCCGAGGCGTACACCTTCTCCGCCATCAGGCGCACGCTCTCGTCCACCTCGCTCATGGACATCCGAGGGAAGAGCCGGTGCATTTCTGACAACAGAGAGAAGAGAAGCATCAGAATCTTTCAGCCGCTTCTTTTCTTGCTGAAAAATACACGGTGAGATCGTCAAAGGTGCTGCTGAGATGAAATGTAGCATCACTTAAAGGGTAAAATAACATTATCTTAGAGGCAGCAGTAAACACAGATACCAGGGGGATAACTGGAGATGTATGAGGCAGCGGGGGGGTTGTGGAGCCTCATCTGGGCACGCATTTGTAAACAGGTCTTGAGCCGGTGGCTCCTGTTTCAGAGCTCGTTAGACGTTCTGCCAGCGGGCCGGGCCGGTTACAGTAAACACGTTAAATCACCGCGCGGCTCTCCCTGGGGGGGCAACAGCCAGTGACTCCCGGGCTGGTTTTAGAGGCCGGCTCGCAGCGCCCTCAGATGCACAACGCAGTTTGCTGGATATCAATTTGCCCGGGTAGAAAAACTTTTGCCGTGTGTATTTGGGGAACAGGGCTGTTTGGCTGATGGCCGGTGTTTACTCAAAGCTTTGTGTTTCTCATGCCTCTGTGCCCTTCTTTACTTCTGCGTCGTGCCACTGGAATCCTTATCCCTCCAGAGCCATTAACACTTCATGCATTCTCTTAATTTCCCAACTTTACAGCAGACCAACATCTGCGGGGTGAAGTAGGAACCAGCTTTTACTGTCAATGAGACGAGAATGTGTGACCCGCTGCCCGCATACCATCATTCGCTTTCCCAGGACCCTTTTGGTGGGAAAACACTTGTGCTTATTTGGACTGACCTGATTCTCTTGTTCGCCCCCCAACTCTATTTTAAACTCCAGACTCTGTGAATTTGTATTCTGATCAGAGCAGATCGACGACGGCAGAGGTGTTTTTAAATAGCTCCTGTGCTGAGAAAGCCGGGGCTGCTGGCCAGCAGAGGTGGAGACGTTTGGCTTTTCTGATCGCCCTGTCATCGCTGACACTAATAACAGACGACGAGGGCTGTAATTGTATCAAAAAGGGTACAAAACAAGGTGCCTGGATAGCGCTGTGTCCGATGACCTACTTCTCAGCTGCTGTCAGGTGAAATCTATCCCCGGTGAAACTTCGAGTCATCTTGGCACCGGCGGGATGACACCGGTGCCGCGTGCTCTGGCAAGCGCCTGTTCTCCCGGGGGTACCCCCCCCCCCCCCCCGCCCCCCCTCGACATGTGTACATTCTCCCCAGGCTGGAACAGCTAAGCAGCCTCTTGGATGACCTCGACCTTTTGTATCTTGCGGCGGCAGAAAGCTGGCGTGCACGCGGCAGTCTGCCCCCTTATAAATATCCATCCATCGTAAACCGTTTTTTTCCCCATTTAAAAGTAGATATTCTTAGAAATCCCTATCGTTCAGATAGTGAACCGTCCGTCAGACATTGAGCCTGGTGCGGCGGCCGGTGAGTGAACCTCTATAAAACTGTCATCACGTCACATTTCAGCATCATTACAAAGTTTTACGATGAACAGGTTTGAACGCTCTCTCTGTCTCTTACCTTCTTTTGTGATTTGGGCCATTTTTGGCTCTCAGTCTCTGCCAGTTGAGTCAAGTGTATCAGCTTGCATGTGTTTGTCTCTTTGGAACTCTAAACTTTAAACTGTTTCACAAGCCATGAAGCAAAACACTGGAGCAAAAGAGCTGCTGGAGCTTGCTGGCGTTGTTATGGCTGTCCTCTGGTCTGTGTCTGTCTTGTGTGTGAGATGCTTCTCTTCAGGGTTCTGCCTGCGACTGCCTCTACCTCCCTTTGCTCCGCTGTTTATGTGGTCCAGAGGCTGTATCTATAATGCAGCTGCCGGTGGCCGCTTGTCTTGAGTGTCCCTTTCTAACTCTATTTTAGGGTGTTGAGAACATCATGGCAACAGCGGTTCTAAACCGAGCTGGTATGTCACAACTGGCTGGTAACATATGAGCGGCTCTGTCTGATGTAGGGCACGGAGGAGGGAGTGAGATACTAAGGGGGTGAGATTACCAATTCGGTATAAAAAGGTAATTTCAGAAATCAATTCAGGAAATGTTTGTGGTTTTCAACAAACTAAAATTCTGATGACGTTGCAGGGATTTGCTGACGCTGTTTTAGAATGTGGGTCAGCACAACTTGAGAAACTGCTAATGTTTCCAGCACTTTGCTCCAAATGCGACTGGCTGGAGTCCAAACACATCAACAGCCTCCAAACACAATATCCACACTTGTTTCTGAACTTTGATCTGGTTACAGATGGAGAATAAAAATGGTACAGTCATGACCACTGAAGAGCTTTCAAGGAAATTGCTCTCCTTCAAAGAGACACCATAACGTCTAAGGATACTTTAACAATGTTTTACTTCAGGTCCGTTGGGTTTAGCCAGCTAACTAAGCTGACAATGAGTCATTATTAATTCATTTAATCTGATAATCTTTAACGCGAATAACAGAAGCCTGGTTTCTGTCCCTGTTTGTGCTCCAATTGCTGTCATTTGTGCACTGGCAGAGGTGTGGCATAGGCTACTAACAGGTATGTGCAACCCACATTTTTCCAGTTAGGATTAAATGTCCATCAAATATAACTGTCAGCTGAGTTTCTTTTGTTTGGGTAATAGATGTGTGACATCTGACTGAGCACATGTTGTCTTTATTTGATGTGTTGGTTTGGTTAAAGTTACAGTTCAGATCTTCGGATGGATGATCATTTCAGTTTATAAGGACACAGACTAAATCCTCCACTGGAGCATCATCTCTCTTTTATTATTGTAATAACTGTGCAGCTTTTGCAGCTCAAAACTGCGTTTTTCCAGGTGATGAGCTGTTGATTAAATCCCTGTCCAGTGCTGTGGACAGATGTGGATTTATCTGACAACAGTAAGCAGTTGTAACGCTGCGTTTAAAGTGCAGGTTATTCCACTACTCGAGTCAGCTAAAGAGTTTGCTGTTACTCACCCTTCCCAAGACATGGTGTAGACTGCTGCTTATAAAGGGGTGTGTCTCTTCTCTTCATTTTGACTGACCTGGAAGAGGAAAGAAAACACATCTCTGTCTTACAATATTCTTTATGGAATTATAAATTATATGACAACCTGAGCATAGATTTCAGTAAAACTAAGGAGCATATTCCAACAACGTATCTGATAATAACAACTCTTTTGAGGTTAAAAAAAAATGCTGTAAGAAGGAGAAATATTTTTCTACTATGAGTTTAAAGCTTTTATTCCTTTCAAAGGCATTTTCCATTAAGTTTTCAAAGGATTCAAACTTAAATGTGTCTCCCATTTGACTTTGTTGATCTGTAAATTTAGCTCTACCAACTTCTAAATCTGAACTGTTTCTGAGACTAGATCTCACAATACAGCTGCATCCACATTGTCAGAACTTTAGGATTATAGGGCTGTATGAATGTTTTAAAAACATACGTTAAATACAGGAGTTCAGAAGCACATCAGAACATGTTTTCCATTTTTATTGATATGCCGGGGGGAAATCTTCAAGTGCGGTTTGAACACGCAAAGCATTTGAAGATTTACGTCCACAGTTTGAGTGCGGCTTTTTTTTTCCTGTTTCCTTCTGTCACACTTTTTAGCTGATCCATTTGTGGTTGAAGAGTTGCTGGTGCCGTCTGTCCAAAGGTGGTGAAAGCAAGAGAAGAAGAGGGCGGCTGGCAGCGGGTTGAGAAAGATTGAAAGCTGGCTTGGTAGTTAAATTTCCTGTTTTTTTCTTGAACAAAAGCCTCGTGCACCGGTGGCACCACATTGCAACACTGAATAGCACTGGACTGTTTGCATTTCAGAAAGCTTTGGAGGCACCCATGAATCCGGGAATATTTGATCAATAGGAGTGATACAAAATGAGACTTTATAGGCTGTGTGATGTGTAAACATCACCCCCGTTAATGTGCACACATTGGGACTGGTATGCAATCTGTCGGGTTATTGTGCACTTTCCAAAGTCTGCCATAGCTGATTTTTCTCCTACTTAAACAAGTCTGACAAGGCAGGACACTGACTTATAGGAATCTTATGTATGCCCATACATCCTTTCTTTTACAGACACAGACAAAACCCGTTAACTATTGGTGTGAATGCGAAGACCAACACGCTGGATATTATTCTCCAGGGACTATACAGTTTGCAGTTTTTCCTCTTACTGGCACTCGATGTGACATAACACTTGCCAAATACCCTAAGGCAGTCTTAGTCCAACCCAAATAAGGGCTGTGTGTCCCTGCCTGTGTTCTGACTTGAAACGTTCAGCTGAGCCTATGACTCTTTGTTCGGCCTATTTTGGCAAATGGCACATGAGTTCCTGCTTTTTTTTTTTCTATCTTGTTATACAAGTTTGCCCCACTAAGAGTGACAGTACATTTTAAAAGGAAATGGGAAACTGTTCTGTGGTCACAGCGATAACAAAAGCAAAAAGTTTCTTTGTGTTCGGTCCGTGAGAGCTGCCAGGATGTAGATATTTTTAAACGAATCCTGTAAAATACCTCGATGTATAAAAAGCACAGTAGATGTTTTTATTTAAGCTGATACAGGGCTCCCAGATGATTCATCTTATAATGACTTCCCGTCTGAATAGCCTGTTGTGAAATTTTCTCAAGAAGACTTTAAATTAGCAGCGTTAAAATGAGAGGCTTTACTGAGCGACAGAAAAAGAGAACCTGGCCACCACACAAATGGAACCCCTCTGCCAGCCTACCAATTCTACTCGATCACCCCATTACAACTGTAAGGTTGCGTGAAATGTTTGCTTGTGGTTCATTTGCAGCACAGAAGTGTGCACACTGCTCTGGCATGCACGGAACGACGCTACATGCCAATTTCATTTGTATAGATCTGCATTATATGCAAAGTCTCATCTATAAAGACACAGACAGTTAAACACACCTGTGAGAACCGCAACACCTGCCAAAATTTAAAGGTGCTAGTCAGCAGTTTTATTCCACAAATGAGTGAACGCAGCATGAATGTCGTCCAAGGTAAGAGCGCAGTCATACCTGCTGAAACCTGCTGCATCTGAGGGGCCTGACCAGGCATGTCTCAGGCCAGTTCGTGGAAACCAGAGCAAGAACACACCCACTCTTACATAAGAAGAATACAATAGACATACTCAGCCTAAGGAGCGGAGTCTCAGGATGCTTGGTTAATCCCAGTGCAAGTGTGACTCCTAATACTCACGTTTGTGAAGACAGCACGGCTGAAAAAGGTCTGAAGGTCTTAACCAGGTCACACACTCAATGTTTACTAAACTGGGGCTTCAACAGTACTGAAAACATGTTAACTCCGCCAACTGATAGCGCCATGCAAATTCAGCCGAGCGCCAAAGACAGCGTGACAATGATGAGAAAAGGTAGCCAAAGGTCGTGAAAAGACTAACTTAAAAAGTTGACAAATCTCCCACATTAAGAATCATTGTGACAGCTGTGTACTTACTGTTGTGCGTACTTCCTGAAGGGCGGCTGTGAGCAACCTCCTGGGACTGCCGGGACCCCTTATTAGGTGTAAGCCTGTCAGGGCAGCCTCTAACAGACACAGAGATGATTTACTCTTTCACTGCCAGTGTGAAGTGGAAACCGTGCACGGTTAAAAACGCTCGGAGGTGCAGCACTCGAGTTTCAGGAAGTGGCCTGCATTTCTCTCGATCGGGGCAGTGGAGGAAGTTGCCGGGGGAAGCTTGTTCTCGAGCCAGTATTTCACTGTTACCCTGTTCAAGAGCACGGAATCTATTTATAGACCACACCCGTCTTTGCTTATTCAACAGGGGCGGTGTTTTTCATTGTGTACTGCACTTGCGACACTTAACTAACTCCTTCTGGCAGGGGGGGGGGGGCGTGATGAAACAAACAACATGCATACATACAGTGTGAGGCAGGATTCAAAGCATAAAGCTGAGAAGCAAGTTTTAAAAGCTTGTCCTCCCAGGTATGGGTATCTGATAACAACACCCAAAGACACTCTATTACCAAGGGTTTGTTTGGGGAAGGTTTAAAAAAATTGTATTAAATAAATAGGTAAGAAGGCTTCATAATTTAAAAACAACTTGCATCATATCACTCTTTTAGACCATATCAGTGTGCTCTTGTTTCTCTAACTCTAATCCTCAAAGCACAACCAATTCAGCTGTGGTAATATAAATAGTAGAAAATAAATCTATATCTAATCCAAAAGTCAAATTGTATTACATTAAAATTCATCTTAATATAAACAAAACACCTAGTTGAGCAGAGGTAATCAAATCAAAGCACTTCCCAGTTGGCTACCCCTTGAATTTTATGTTTTAATTTTATAGTTCTATTGAGTCCCAAACCACTAGAAGATTAATTATTTGTTATCTGACAGGAAGTTAAATTCACGTACAGTGAAACTGTGACTGTTCCGTAATGACAGTGAACGCAGCATCGTTTGTACTGATGGTGCTTTCTTTCCATTGTGTCACTATCACTTATTTTTAAAGCCTTAGCAAAAATTCAGAATAAATGTTCTAATAATTATGAGGGAATAGCTTTTGTCAACATAAATTACATTAAATGTTGCAGCAGGAGTTGCTAAATGGCTTTGTTGGTATCCGTATGCTAATTAGCCATGTGCTAGCTAGTTCACTTTCAGGCTCAAGTCAGACTCAGACTGACAGTCGAAAAATACTTTATGCTTTATGCCCACCTAGCTTTTAAAAGCCTTTAGATAATACCAGCTGAGACTATATTTTTCTGCTGATATCAGTTCGCTGTTTGGGGCGCTGAAGTTATCTGGTTAGCAACTTTTTTGTTTTGTTTCTTGTGCTCATATTATGTGTATACATTTCCCCTTACCTGAAACCTGAACATGTAAACGTTATTTAGCTAAACTCCAGTTTGGACCGCTGGCCTGGTCCACAGGGTGGGTCTGTGGGGATCAAGTCTTCTTTAAAAAAGAAAAGACGGAACAAACTCGTCCGTTATTCGGCTTTTCCTGTCCGCCAATCAAAGTCTTAGGACGAAAGTGGCCGACATAGGCCGAGTACCCTATAGTCAATGACGTCACTGATGGTGATGGAACACTGCTGGCACTTTAATTAATTATATGCGCAAGGACTGTCACTATTCCAACATCTGATAAACTTTTTGTGTGTATTATAACCATAGGGGTCACATCTGAATCAACTCCTGAATCAAGAAAACATCAAATTTGTCCAATTTGAAAAATATGTTTAAACCATCCTCCCTAATGTGGTTTTTGAGATGCAGCTGTGAGTTGAAATTCAAATGTTAGTTCTTTTTCAATGAATCATAACATGTCAGGACTTTGGAAGCGTGGAATGATTTAAACAAAGCAAATTCCTCGGGAAGATTGTTACAAAAGCCACATCTACTCCACAGTCAGACATAATGTGGAATGATAGGGAGACCCTTTCTTACACAGGCTAACACATTTTTGTTAATTTATTCTTACTTGTTCATGAGTCTAGTGGGTGAAAGAAACATGAAGGGGATGTTTTGGGACAGCCATGGGAAAGTCCTTGACCTGCTTTGTCCAAAGGAAATGCTGAACTGATCCCTTTCTGTGAGGGAGGCATCTAAATATCAGAGCTGAAGATGTTCTGTCAGAGCCGTATTTCACAAGAGATTATGTGAAAGTCTGATCAGTTCTTCCACAATGCCTACATCTTTTTAATGATGTTCCGACTGTTGCAGAAGTGTCATATTTTAAGTAAAATTGATTAAAGAACCTATGCACTTCTTGCCTCTTGTCCTGGTAAAACATACTGGTTTCAGACTACACGGACTTACTCTTTTTTACCAAAGAATATACTGTTTACACCCCATCCTGTGCTTTCAAGATGATCAGTATGCCAGCAGTTCTGACTTTCTGTGGAATGTAAACAAATGGTACATTCTGAGAAGTGGGTTGTGAATAAATGCTGAGACTGCTTTATTAAGATCAGCTGAGGTTGCAGGATTTAAGGTTCTAATTCCACCTGCTGGCCAACGAAGGAACATTCACTTTACAAAAATGTAAAAATCTCTACAAAAAAAAGATTTTTATTTGCTTCTCCAAAAACAACAAATAATAACTCAACAACAATTCTCTTAAACTGTTGAATCCTTTAAAAACATCCCCTATAAAGAATAAACTCACTACTATTGAATGCTGATGTTTTTTTGTACTGTAAAATAATTTTCCTTCCAGAACTCATTGATGGCTTTCTAGTCTAAAAACAGTAATCATGGTCACACAGTGGATCACAGTGACTGGTGAGATTGCTCAACTGTGCTGCTTAAGAGAGATATTTTTACTCTATGGCATACATTGAGAATTCAAAAACTCTATCTTTTATTTCCTATTTTGATTTCATAGTGTCGATTTGATGTACTTATTCTGACTAAGCTGTGTGTTTTCATCTAATGTAAACAGATTTTTGGCCAGTGTGACACAGCTATCCCTCTACATAGAGCAAGCATAGCTCACATTCTGCACTGATTAGCTCGTTTCTTCAGAGAGAAACACATGTCTTCTTTCTCTCCATTTAGCAAAAAACATACTGCCTTTGCCAAACCATAATTCATTCTGAGCAAAGGATTACACAACACCAAAAGCTCTGCAGAAAGTGTCAGGCAAGCGGCTGATAAGGGCTATTATTAGAACGGAATGTGGCCCCTTGGATCAGAGGTTTGATCATTTTAAACCACACATACGTTGTGTCATCACACCGACACCATCACACTGCAGGGATTGCAAAAGGTTTTAAGTTTTTTTATCAAACTGATTTATTATTTGTCTCATTTGGTTGATTTGAAACAAGTGAGCTGGAAGTCCCTGGTAGTTTCCACAAGCCATGAATCAGGTGAAGTAATCACATTTCAAGTCATTTCAGCGGAATTGTAATTGGTTGTCAGTATGGTCTACATTCACAAAGACAAAGATAGATGCTATGAACACAATCAAGGTGATACACGGAATGGAACTGCTAAGGACGGACTTTGAAAGACTCCTGCTGCAAAGCTAGATGGCAGCACAGCTCTGGAAGTAGCTGTTTTTTGCTCTGTACAACACTCCTATCAAAAAAACATTGTTTACAAGGTTCAGACACATCAAATACTTCACTGAAGTTAAAACGAAAACGAAATCTTGTATCGCTCTCATATGAAGTTTGAGTTATTTTGTAGTTTTTAAATATAAAACATTCATATAGATTCATAAATACAGGGTTTACAATAACATATTGCTCGCTACAGCTTGTATAGGTTTATTGTGTAACATAAGTAAATTGCCAGTAAGAAGCACTCTGCCACACTCTCCTGTGTGGCTGGCACCTTGGGGCCCAGTTTCCTGGGCAAGCTTCACCCTCTGAAGCAGTTCTGGCTCCCTCCTCAGTTCAGGGGTAGCACAGGTCCTCCGATGTGTCTCTGTCCTCTGTATCAGCTGCCAAGTTCACTTTGAAATTGAAGAGGAGACGCACATTCTCATCAAGTCCCACAGGTCTGACTTGAATTCGGACACTGAACCACACCCATGTCCAGGCGTCCTGGACCCTACACCCTAAGGATTTTTTTGTTTCTACAATCTTCCCAGAATGCGCTTCCTGAACCTTGCATTCTGAGTTCCCCACATGTACAGATGTAGTGGCACTGACTGCTCTTTTACAGGATTCGGTTGGAAATCTGCGGAATAAAACTTCTGGGAGTGGTGGTGGTGGTGGTGTCGGGGTGGGTGGGAGGGGGGGTCTAGAAGACAAGCCGAGCGGCCCCTGGGAGTGAGCGGCGACGCCGTCCAAAGCCGTCTTTTCTCAACTTATGCAGAGGGGCGCAGGTCTTCTTCTCCTGGCTCCTAATCTCATGCACTCTGTAAACCATGTCATGATACAAGCACGTCACCAGGAAGCAGCCGGATCTTTTGGTTCTTACATTCAGCTCCAAACTGGGGGGGAAAAAATCAAGTTTATGAGAAAAAAAAGAACAAATCTGACCTTTTGTGACAATCTATACCCTTCCATCTACCATGGTCTGGGTAGGAAATGGTCTCTTTACCTGGATAGTGGTGGGACAGCTTCAGCTGCCTTGTCCTCCAGCTTCCCAGGACTGTCGGGTCCTTCTGATGGTTCAACAAGATCGTCACAGTTAAATGGATTAGCTGTCGCCAAGTTGTTGTTCGGTGTTCTCCCCATGTGTTTACGCATAAATTCTTTTAACCTTCAAGACAGAACACAGTGAGGATGTGTCAAAAAGAGATGGGAGATGGGGATTTCTGGGTGAGATGTTGGCTTTGAAAATCCACAGGAAACCAATGAACTGCCTTTAGTAGTTTAATCGTTATTGTTAAGTCACAAGCTCAAACTTATGCAAGGAATTTTGCAAAAAAACAAATCATCAATCATCATTAACTTAAGAAGAAAGCATAGACAAGCTGGTTGAAAATCTTGCTCTTAGTTTTTAGTGGGCTCACCATTTTTCCCTGCTGGCGTTGGGCTTTGCGGTGGTCCCACTGGCCGGTAGCAGGACGCTAGTAACCACACAGCAGCAGAGGACTGTGCCCAGGGACAACCTCATTTTGGCTTTGCTAGAAGATACAGAAATGGTCTTTGATTGGTTTGCTTCACTTTACTCCAACAATTGCCAATGGGTTCACTTAGGGCAAGGTGAAAGCGATGTTTGTGGGTTCTCGTTTAGAGACACATAAGTCAAATACCAATCAGCGTTAGAAGCATCACAGACAGGTTGCTGAAGAAACATCAACACAATTATTAGACTTACACTTATTAGAAAATAATGCCTTTTCCCCCTTCAATCCAAAGCTCTGAAGACAAGCTTAAACATAAATCCAGAGTAATGTTAAAGTCACCTACCCCAGGTTCTTGCTTTTGATGTGATGCGAAGACGATTGTTATGCACAATTTAGCAGAACTTTCTTTGTTTGTTTGTTTATTTTCTTTAATTTGGTTTTGTTTATTTAAAAAAAAAAAAGTTATTCCCAATGCAGTAAAGACTTTGGCCATAAGATGAAGAGTGGAGATTACTCTGCTAACTTGAGTTTTTATAGAAGAAGGGAGGGAGCTATACCTGAATGCCAGACCCAGTGGGAGGGACTGAGGGACAGTTCATGTCAATCTCATCCACCCCTCATGGAGATAGTCATCCCCAAAGAATGCAGATGGAGACTGGAGTCAGCAGTCCACAAACGACATCAATAATTTGTTTTTGGTTCTCTCCTTTTCAAAAACTATACTGAAATGACTGGTTTATTTACTCAGTGCTATTTAAAATTAATCTAAATAGTAACTGTCCAGAAAATAATTGTCTGGGTCAGCTATTAGTATTTTCTAAATAGCTAAATTTCATTTAGTAAAGCTATTGACATGAGAAATATTGTAAATAGTCAAGATAGTTAGGATTGGTACGTTTGCTTTATGCTGAACCGATGCACCTCCACATGCACCATTCATGCTTTCTGGGTACATTCGGTGATGTAAGGTTAACTAAGCGTTTAAATGCTCAACACTCTGCACACATAGAACTTTCATTAAGTGCCCAGTGACTGAGACTAAACGTTCACTGAAAGCTAAAAGAATTACAGTGCCATTCAGGATAATCGAAAATTAGATAAGACGTTTACGGTCATACAACAAAGACAAATTCACCGAAAGTACAAGTTATTCTATTTCAAACAGAACAAATTGCAAAGGCGTGCTTTATGAATTTGTTGCATTCTTTTATGAAAAGGTAATGGAAAGCAAAGAGATAACCAAACAATCAAACTTTCTTTTGTAATCATCTATTGCCCCTATGGAAATGATTCATGTGACTGATGTCTGATTCTGAGAAAATTGATTCGTAGGAGAAGAGAGTGGACTAATGAGTCATCTCTAACAACGCTTCATTATGTGTGGAATTATCTTTGGATTGTTGTACGCCTTTTCACAGTTGTTAGTGAGGGACTCCACGTCGTGCAGCATAATGCAGCTCATTTTATGGCACAGAGATGCTTTTTATCATGCTAAACATTGGTATCGATTAAACCCTTAAGGTCACATCTTTACCAGTTAGAATGATGTAAATGGCAATTATTTTAATGAGAACGATCCCTTTACAGCTCTGTATGGGTTATTAATCACTTTTGTGTCACTAAGTGTGAACAATCCTTAAACTCCTCCCTGTCTTAGTCTTCTCTAGATAGGAGCTGCTCCACTCCAACCATGCTTTGCCAAGTGCAAATTTCTCTGAGGAAGAAAGAAATTCTTGAAATGCTCTATCCTGTTGACATATCTGAAAAGTTTAGATTTGTCTGTGTTTAGTGCTCTCCGTAGGAGTAGACTCAAATTGTGTCAGATGACACAAGCTTTCACCTCGTTCACAATTGAAAACAGTTTGTCCCGGACTTGTATATACCTGCATGCCCACATTAATGTTGCAACCAGCTCTGCAGTCATCACCTTCATCCTGTCCATAGGGTGTGTGCTTATTGGAAATCTGTGCAGACTGTCAGGCTTGTTTTTTTGTTTTTTTCCTCAAGACTTTATCAACCCAAACTGCCATTTTCACCACAACAACATGATATTGTCAGGGCAACGGCGGTCCGTCTCTCAGGGGCCAAAAGATGAGTCAGCTCTGTGTGTTTCAGCATGATTCCTTACAGATTTTCACCTGTTTTGCATGCTGTGGAAAACACAACGCACTCCAGATAGAAATGAGCTGGTCAAATCCAGTTTGCTTTTATTATCTTGAACTTTTGCAAGCATTAAACATGAAGCATGAAACGTTACATATACACAAAATGAAGAAAATGTGCAGTTTGGTGAAGGGATAGATAAGGCTGTGAATGATTTGCACAGTAAGGGGTCAGCAGAACAGAACATGAGGTCACCACTGGCCTGGACTGAGAGCATGTGATATTATTAGTTACTCAGTATCTATTTTTAGCATGAATGAGTGTTTTTTATCACTACTGGGAAAGATGGACAGGAAGTGTAGGGATTTTATTAACTCAGCTGTTCTGGCATGTGATTGCATAGTGCTTTCTCCACAGCCCTGACCGAGAATATTCCCTGGAAATGCGTTTTTCTAATTGGCCGGCCGAAGCATTCCTCTTGGTTTCTTTCAAACAATGGAAAATAACCGTGTGTTTTTCCTTTTTCTTTGTTGAAAACCTTGAGGTCAGGCTTTTCCAGGTGGAAAATATCCACTTGCCCAAGGACAAAAAAACTTCCCCTCACGTGTTATTGAAGAGGTAATAATCTCAGCTATTTCTGCAATGCCTTTTGCTAGCATAAGGTGGTTTGCATTACCTCTATTTATGTGGGACTATGTATTTGATTCAAATTAGGCAGGAATTTCGTTGTCATAGCACATTCAGAAGGAAACGCTTGAGGTGTGAAGACTGACTGAAGTTGAAGTAACATCATATGAGTTCGATTCAATTTTCTGTGATGGTTGCATGGCACTCGCCGGAAGTCAGCCATAATGAAGTACAGACAAAAATGGAGGTTGGTCTTTAGAGCTATCAAGCTATAAGCCCTGCCGGTCATCTCACATCCATATTCCATACCAAAGGACTAGAAAGAAGCCACTGCTTTTTGTCCAGAACAGGTTTTAAGATGCAGGCAAGTTCCGTGCACATGGGACTAAGTGGTGATATTATTATAAAGGACCATGTTTAGGGGTCGAGAGTTTCAAACCCAAAGTGAGACACATCCAAAGGTCTTCTAATATGACAGATCAAGTGGTACTTTCAGGTTTGGACTAATAAGAGGGTAGTGGCTAACCAATTGGTCAATGTGGTGGTAAAAAAATGAATAAATAAATAAGGAGGAAGGCAGTAGTAATTGATACATTGGTAGAGAATTGTGACATCCTGGATATGGTCACCCTAAGAATTTGAATAATGGCATTGATTTTGAAAACATTTAAACTTGCATTAGAATATGTTTTTTCAGTACAGAACAAAAGGAATATTTTAGAAGCAACTCAAACCAAACTACTATGTGCTAAAGTGTCCTGAAGGACTCTGCACATGCCCTGTACATGGGGAATTGTCTGGTGTGGTAGAGCCGAGCCCTTTGTCTCTACGGCTGAGCACCTGTACGAGGTGAGAGGTGAAACATCTTCTAGATGTGAAAAGAAGTCCTGTTTCCCAAAGTCAAGCTCTTAGGAGAAGGTATGGGTGTAGGAAGTGGAAGTGATGGCATCATAAAAGGAATGTGAGAAGCTTGTGACGTACCGAGGGCTAAAGAAGAGTCGAAAGTTAGAAATGGAGCACTTTGGGGCCTTGACCGGAAAGTGGGAGTCTGGATCCAACAGATCCTGTCAAAAAGAGCGTGGTTCTGTGACCAGCAAAGATATAGTGCCAAACCTTCAAGCTCCTAAGTGTCTGATAGATGGCAAAGGCCATTAGTGAGTATGAAGTTTTGCTTTCTTTTTTGTTTGTTTTATTGTTTTAAAAAAAGTATATATCCATATATCATAAAGCTTTACGGTTCTGGTCTTACCACTGTACTCCTTTATCTGGTCTGCTTTAATATGTATTGTATACAATTTAAATATCATATCATATATGGTATGTATATTATCATTATCAAATTTGTACTATGATTTTTTGTGTGAAAATACCTCTGTGCTGTAACTGGACTAGATTTTTCTGTTCATTTTTAGCCATAAAGAGGAAACGATTTTTAGATATTTTTGTTGTCAGGAAAGATTATTTATCTCTAATTTCCCTGCTTCCTGTGGGCATGACTCTGGTGGTGATTCCCACTACTTATCTGTGGCTTGTTCCCGGCATGGCCTTCTAAAAGGGCCCAGCTCCTCTTGGTGCCCCTGTGCCTGCTTAGTGATACAAGCTAGGCCGGTCACTGGTCCTAAGTAAGGTCAACGATGCTGCCTGACAATCATCATTCTACACAAACTCTTCGGGTTTGATAACAATCATTTTTCCCCAATCTGCTGCTTGGTTTTCACCATCAGAAAGATAACTAATTCACCAATTTGTTCTCTGCAGTACTGACCTGTCAGCTTTATCCTGAAAACCTAGAATAGAATTCTCCCACAGGGAAAAAAATATGAATCTTTAGGCCATGTTATCCAGTCTTAGTTTGATAAAACCTTCTCCACCTCCTAGGTTGTCCTTCTGCTTGCTGGGTACTGCCTGACTTAAACTGAAATGTCAACAGAAGGCTCTAATAATCCGCCGCAATTTGGACAAAACATGAAAATTGTTTATGCATTTTATCTACGCAGCACACAGTTACAATTACTGTCACCTGTAGACACACTGAAAAAAAGAAAACAACAAAAACTACAAAGAAAAATTATATGAATGCTGTCAATGTCTTGCAGAAATCAGAATAGTCTGAAATGTGAATTAAGGATAAGGAGCGAGAAAAAAATTACAACAAGAAAATTTCTTCAAGAAGGATTTACTTTGACAGTGACATTTTAGTCTTTTTGTTTTTATTCTATTTATCAATTTATTTAATTGTTTATTGGCCAGCACATTTTAGACTTACTAATTGGAACCAGTAGGGATGGAGGTAAGAATTTACCTTCTCAACAGCCAATTAAGACAAATGGGCATATTTAACCCTTTAAAGCCTGATCCAAGAATAAAACAAAACAGAAAATCACTTTTTTTTGGTTTGAAGTCTTTATTTGTCCTTTTAACAAAATATGTAAGAAGAAAAAACAGAAATATATTTTTAATATTAATAATTTATTACTATGCGATAAGTCAAGATTATTTTTTGTGTAGTCTTCTGCCCCCTGTTATCAGGTGTATCTGATTGTGTAAATAAGGATTTTGTGCACAATTTTTACCATTAAATTATGCAAAAGGTGTCAGACACAAAACATTTCAGAAACCGTATGAATCAAATATGATACATTTGGCATTACAGGGTTAATACACTTCCCAATGTCAAAAAGTTAAGATTTCGTTTTCCTGAAATTATACCAAACCACTTGATGAAGCCCACCTCCAGCTCCTGGAGCTCTTCTAGCCTT